CCAGGTTGTTGTACTTAGAGCGATATCAGCACGATATCCCAAATATGTGAAGGGATATCTAGCAGGTTTGACAACAGGTTATAAAACAGGTTTTTGTACTTGAGGTTTTACCGGCAATACGGATAAGCTCGGACTCAAACACTACTTCAATATCTGACATGAAATGAGTGCATTTATTGACTTAGTAGTGCGGACAACATCCGAACTCTAAAGCTATTCAGCTGAGGGTCCTTCTGCACATTGCTGATCTTGTCGTCAAGAAGCCTCCACATAAAGTTGAGTACGTAAATACCACAGCTATTCCCGTCGTTCTGGGTAGGAGATGCCACAACAACGGATTTGTACGAAGCAAACTTGCTCTCTTTGCAAAGGCGCGTTTTGATTTTGTTCAGGTACGCAATGTAGTCTGGATCTCCCAAAGGGTCGTAAATGAAAATGCTCTTGGTCGCAGTGTTGATCACAATGGACGTCCAGTGAATGCGATCAAAATTGAGTGGAAGGAAAACGAGTTTCGTATCACACGTCTTCAGCTCTTGCACAACATCAGCGGGTAACTCCGCCATTCTCACCTTCCTGTTCAGTTTCAACTCCTGTGTCAGCATAACTCGAACACTATATGCTTTGGTCCAAAATGCTCCAATCGCTTCAAAAATCTGGCCACTAATCCAGTCCCCAGGCTGTAGCCGATATAGCGTCGAGTAGTTAGATCGCAGTGTAGACTATCATCCACAATCTGATATGGATGGGACTCTAACAAATACTTTGCGGCGCGATCAGCTTCAGTTTTGTCCTTTTGAATCGACGTTAGCCATTCTACAGCGTTTTGTCCTTTTTCCGAAACGCTTCTCAGAGTCCACAATTTTTGCATACAATCGAGTTGATAGAGGGAAAATTTTCCGATACCTGTCAGCTTCACGTACGGTGGGTCATCATCATTCTGGCTTGGTAGGGGGACAGCGCCCGACTTGTAAAGGACATCCAAGCACTTCTGCACAATTACTCTCGGTAACAGGAAGGATAACGCTGCACTTAGGATCGGTTTCCGATCTGTCCCGACTTTGGGGTGCTTACGCTCAGCATCTCCATGCCTCACTGGATAGACCTCCAGTATATCTGAAATCTCGCGTAAGTTCTTATATTTTCCTTCCATGGCTGTTGCCACAACTCCAACGTCCTCGAAGGACAACTTGCCACCTTTGTCCAATCTTGAGTTGAGCTGTTTTCGTGCAACCCGCCTGGTTTGTACCCTTTGAGCAGCTGTAACCTTCGGTCTTCCGGCGCGCCTCACCTTTTTGCTTGATGGTAGACGATTCCGTTGTTGATAGATCCTTGCAGCCGTCCTCTGTAGAGTTCGTCGTAGGCTCACTAGCTTGACTGCCAGGTTTTACACCAGGTGTAGATGTAGGTATTGCGTCAGGTTTTTCGACACTACTTCTTTCCAAGTCCGAGTCATTCCCTGTTTCTTGAGTCTTGGCCTCTCCTTCAACATTGTCCGTATCACGTTTTTGTGATATTATATCCTCGCACGCTTCGACAAATGTGTTCGAGTCTATCTCGCAGATGTTGAGCTTTTGTCCTTTAAACCCGACAGGTTTGTTCCCAGGATTCCGCCCAGGTTTTATAGGTTTTCCAGGATTTAGGACAGCATCTTCGGACTGACAGCGATCAGGTTCATACCGCGCTTCTGTGATTCCCGTTCGTAGTTTGCGCAAATATCCGTTGAGGAATTCAGTTTCCTTACAGAACTGAGACATCGGTAAATCGGAAACTTCGCTAGATATCCGACTCATCAAGTTTCGAGTTACGCCATACTTCTGTCGCGAATCCAAAACAGTCGATGAATCGTAACTCCATAAGGGGCAAGTTGTCTTCGTGTAGTTGAAGCAGTCAACCGGGGGGAGAGACACCGGGCGGGTGGCACCAGTTGATAACCAGCGCTCATGTATAAATGACACTGGAATCACAGGAACTAAAGCCGATACTCGACGATAGCAAATAACATGACGGCATGGTAACTTCAGCGTCTGGCTGAAATCGCAGTCACAGCACCACTCCATTTTTGAAAAATTGTGACGATGATTTCCGCTGATAACCTCAACGGTATCGCTTGGCTTTTCAAGGAAGGCGTATAGCGCTGTGGCTTCACTCGAAATAGCAAACTCGTACTCAGATTTCATCGTAGACGCTACCCAAGATGTACAAATACGCAGCACCAAGTTTAACTCCTAATCATAGCCATAATGTGTTCACCTTCCTTTGAACGACTCTCTCGCTAAACTTTCATTTTCTACGCGACGCTGATGACGCATGAGAGACTCCAAGCACTCCTTCATTGTGGACGATGAATCAAGATCGAGTTTGAGCTTTTTAAAATTGGACTCGATGCGATTATTCGTATTATTGCGAAAATGCGGCAGTCTTTGGCGGCGATATCTAGTCCACATGTCCTTCGACTTGTCCCAATTCTCACAGAAGTATTCCCAGAAGGAGGTGTTCCCATGCGCGCAGGAAAACTTCTCCAGAATAGAATAATTCTTCGCGTATTCCTCGTTGGACGGAGCGTCTACCAGATTGGAGAAGAGATGATTCATCGAGTCGTACTCGTCTGCCGAATAGCGTCCGAAGCGAGCCTCACGAACCACACTTCGCAAAAACTTCAAGACGTGAAAATGACAGAGCAGAATAGTAGCATCCGGAAATGCCTCCCGTATCACACTGATCTCTCTCATGTCTTTATCAACCATCACCACGCGGAGCGACTCCCAGATGACATTGGCAGTTTTGAAGTGGCTGAGGACCTTCCGCATATGCCAATCCGAGCTGGTCTCGATAACGGAGTGCTGTACGAACTGACCAGACCCGAAGGCATCCATCACCATCAGACTGCAAAGCTGGTAGTCGTACCTATAAAACATAAAAACAAGTGTTAAAAAAGAATGAACAGTTTAATCCTGTTTTGAGCCGTAGCTTAAAACCTGGTAGGAAACCTGGTACGAAACCTGATTCGTATCCTGTTGGAAGCCTGGTTGAAACAAGGAATGTAAACCTGGTGTAGAACCTGTTATGAACTTACCGATTGGTTTTGTGCGTACAGTCCACCAGCAACAGCTCCGGATACTTAGCAAACGTCGCTCGCATGTGGCCTGTACTCAGTGAGATTGATCCTGTCTCCCCCGTTGACGTGTCATCGACACTTACCACGTTGTTCTTGTCTTCCTCGCCGAAGCCGACAAGAAATTCGGCAACAGCCAAATCATCATCGGCCTGTCCACGGAGCTCATTGCGAATTCGGGTAAGAAGATTCGCCACATCTCTCTGCGTCACTTTGTACCTGGAGTTGTCACGGATGTACTCGTAAATTCGGAGACTCTTGCCTCCAGCGCGTACCATCAACCGAAGGTCTTCGACTAGAGGCTCAAACATCGGAACTTGGCGATTGTGTGGATAATGTTCGTAAATGTCCTGGGAAAGTTTGTGGTTGTGAGTGTAGATGGGATTTTTGATCTCTAGAATCCACTTTCCTTTGTGGTACACACTCTCCGCAGTAAAGCGAAATGGACAACCAGTACCTCGAAGCTTGAACTGCTGTCTCTTTCCAGATCCACGGCGGCGGGTCCGCGACCCGTGCGTACAAATGTATCTCCGGCGAAAACGGGGAAGGTCTTCGGGTAAGTATCGCATCGAACCACCGTCCTTGGCGCGCTTAGAAGCACGCAGCATCTTGTTGCGTTTGGCGACACTCTCCGATTCGTGCACCACAAGATGCGCACTTTCGGATTCGCAATACGATTTGCGGTATTTCTCCCAGCTTTCCCAGTTTGTGTGGTAGCGACGCAGCTCCTTTTCTTCAAAAGAGCCCTCCTGGTCTGCTGGAAACTCCTCGTCGCTAGCACTGCCGCCAACCTGCGTGGCCACCTCCCTCTCACCTTCCGATTCTGAGACGCTGGACAAAGAGGCTGGGGGATCTTCGTTGACGGACGCTTCGTCTTCAGAGTGGGCTTTGCGCTTCATTCCTCCAGCACGGCTCAAATTTGGAAATGAATGGATTTTGAGAAGCTGCGCTGCAGAGATACTTGCGATCAGGTGCCGTATCATGAGATTTGTAGGTGTAGGGGAATATTTTCAAATCATGGTATTTTACTTTATTAATTACAGCCTGGCAAGAAACCTGGCGAAACCTGTGCTTTAAACCTGGTCAATAGTCGCACGGCTATGCACCAAAAACCTGGGCAGTAGGTTTTTCCTATGAATGTGAACGGTTCGATTAACCGGCTCGGAGGACCGAGAAAGGCGAACCGGCTGTTTCCGATTTGGGGAGAACCACGGCATTCGTGGTTTCATCGAAGAAGAACGCAGACGAGCACGGTGCTCAGGACTCGGAGTCCTCTCGGAGAAGAACCAACATTTTTCTTCTTCTCAAAGTGGGCTTGTACCAGAGTGGGGATTAGTATTTGTCCCAAATGGGTTGGAATTTCCACAAAACCTCGGTTCTCCCATGGGTTATAGACTGTTTCCCACGGGTCAAGTTTACTCGAAATACTAGGTAAGAGGTGGACTGATTAGCTAGGTTTCGGAAGCCAAGCTTCACTAACTAATCAAGTGCGTGTCCCCATCCAACGGCCGTGATCGTATGCAACAAAGGAAAATCCAGAGAACTGTAACCTGAGGTCGTCCCTGCCAGAAATGTGACCAATAAGATTACCAATGACTTATGGTCATTTACTATAGTAGTATCGTTCAAGTCGAGTAAACCTAGGCCCCATATTTTTTTAGTTGTATTTGGCGCAAGTGAACTTATGATACAGCGATTACACTGTGTTCGATTTGACCCCCCCCCCTCCCCCCGAAAAAGTGCCTAGGTCCGGTCCGGCCGTGGACATCAATATGTCCTTCTCTTTCGCCAGCAGCGGAACCGCGCGCGAGTAGAATACACAATACCTCTTCGGTGTTGCCGAGGCGCTGCAAAAGCTCGAGAGAAGATAATGTTGATCAACTTTTAAATGGGAGGCTCGTGGGCTGCTCAGTCGCGGACAGGTTTAGCGCTGCTACGCAATTATGACGCCGTCATCAAGCGTGCTACACAATATGGTGCCACCTGGGGTGCGCGACGTCGAATTGTTTGACTTGGGCTACGAAGACGGACTCAAGTGGATCGTCAAGATTGGATTGCCGTGATCCCAAATGTGAGCACGTACTATGCTGACGGATGGAGCACGACGGTGGGGCGTGTGGTGGGCTACCGCGCCTGCGAGAGCCACTTTTTGGACGCTCTATTCGTCGGCCTGTTCGTGTGCTTGTGGAGGCCGATGGCATTTATCTGCCTGTATCTGGAACTCTACCTACAAGCTATCGTGTCTGGCGGCAAGGCTGCGGTCTTTGGAGCCGCGGCCAAGCTGCTGATTTCGAGCATTATCATGGCCGCGTTGGCAGTGGCTTTGGCCACTCTGGGCCTGCAAGACACCATGCTGTTTCTGCTCGGGCTAGCGGCAACAGGGTTCTTTTTGGGTGGCGCGGTTCTACTGGTGGGCGGTCTGCAACAAGCCGGCGCCGTCGCATCGGCGGACTGGCAGCGATGCCGCTCCTACATGCGCAACACCACGAGCCCGTCGCTCTTCTTGCACAGTATACCAATGATTGGCGCCAAAGTGCAGATCAAGCGCCACGAGTTCCTGCTACAGCACTCGCTAGTGTATCGCGTTGCGATGCATTTCATGTAGGCACTGGAAATAAAGTTTAAAGTATCGCCACGTGCGTACTGCACGCACGTCAGATAAAACGTCTATTAAATTATTAATAGCCTGTGCAACGCACAAATGAGAAACTTCAGCTAGACTTTCTAGAGAAAGGATCCTACTACCTAGTTTATTAGCTCAGTTACAGTAAATGCTCAGTTCTTAAGAAGAGTTGAGCTTAAAGTTTTGGCAACGACATCTGAAACGACTCAGCGTTTCACGGTGGTTTCGCTAGGCGCAACAGAAAAAGCCGAAAAAACCGGCGACCTTTCACGTCACAGGAACTAATGTCACTAAATACAGTCTCATTTATAAGCCTGTCGGTCTAATCGCTGTGTTGCTGCACCGCCCTTTCGGTGGCACAATACCGCATGCACAACGCACACTTGTCAACGAAGATGTTCTAGCCAAAAAAGTTGGCGCGCAAGTTTGGCCCGCTACGCGTGACTCGCTCGCTCTGCCCTCGCCCTCAGATTTACTTTTTCTCATTCGCAATCATCTTGCCTTCTTGCCATAATGGCCCGCCGTCACCATGACGCCGCTCTCAAGCCGTCGTCCTACTCGTTCGCCGCTGGAGGCTACCTTATCACGTACCTCTTTGGCGTAGCTAAAGCGCTGCAAGAGTTCGAGCTGGAGAAAGATGCACGTCTTATCGGAACCTCTGCCGGGGTACTGACAGCCACCGCGTTAGCGCTGCAGTGCAACTTCGACGCTACTCTAGACTACGTGCTGAAAAATGTCATTCCTGGTGCTCGCGTGTTCCTGGCGGGTATTTTAGTGCGCATACATTGCTACTAGACACACTGAAGGCCGTGGGCAACCTGCACACGTGGGAGAGGCTCAATGTATCGCAACAGCTCACAATTGTCTACACGTCGCTATCGGCGCTGACGTCGCGTCGGCAAACGACGTTCGACTCGCGGCAGCAGCTGACGGACACTCTCATGGCCGCGTGTTGCGCTACACCCATTGCTGGACTGCCTTTCAGACTTGGCGATGAATGGGTCTTCGACGGTGGGATCTTGGACTTTCAACCGGTCTTCGACGAGAAAACAGTGACTGTGAGTCCGTTCTACTGCACTGGAGCAGATATCAAACCTTCGGTGTACGTGCCAATGTGGTGGTCTTTACTGGCGCCGCGTGAGCGAGACGCCGAGTGGTTATTTGATTTGGGATATGAAGACGGACTCAAGTGGATCGTTAAGAACAACCTCACTGGAAACCGTAAAAATGTGGTCATCCCAAACAAAAGTGCCGAATACGCGAGCGAGTGGAGCACGACCGTGGGCCGTGTGGTTGGATACCGTGGCTTTGAGAGTCGAGTGCTGGATGCTCTTTTCGTGGGGCTCTTTGTGTGCCTCTGGCGTCCACTCGCCTTCATGTGTCTGTACCTGGAACTGTACCTGCAGGCCATCGTTTCGGGTAGCAAGGCCGTGATCTTCGGGGCCGCGGCAAAGTTATTCATCTCGAACATCATTATGGTGGTGCTGGCAGTGGCAACTGTTACTCAAGGTTTTCAGCATACGTTGCTCTTCATTCTCGGTTTGACCGCGACTGGATTCTTCTTAGGTGCGATAGTGCTGTTGGTCGGTGGCTTGCAACAGGCTGCGACGGTTGCCTCGAACGACTGGCAGCGATGCCGCTCTTGCGTGCGCAGCATCACCAGTCTGTCACTTTTTCTCCGTTGCATGCCAGTGCTAGGCTCTTCCATACAGATCAAGCGTCACGAGTTCCTGCTGCAACACTCACTGGTGTATCGCGTCGCCATGTACTGCATGTAGTTAGTCGCCTTATTTCTTTTTTAAGCGAAGTTGTGGGCAAGGTTGCAATGTAGCCGTTGCCGATATCTGTATAAGCTTGCATGGTAGAATCAATAATATGAGACTTAGTAATTGTAAGTACGACATTTCTGTTAGCGCAAATCTGTTATTGACTTGCTTAGGTACGAAATGCGACCTCTTAAGTACGATCTGGGCCGCTTCGAAATACCGGTAGCAGGAAAATTGTATTCGAGTAACTTGCTGAAAAGGACCAAAACGGCAAATTTTGATCGGAGTGCACAATAGCAAATTGAAAAGGCTCCAATTTATGTAGACTTCACCCTAGTGCCAAACAACGTGCGCGCCCGCTTTGAAAAGTGCTCCTCACTTCTAACATCAATTCCGTGCTAGAAGGTACTCTTCGGCCGGTCGGTGTGGGTAACAGAGTTCCGCACATCAAGACGGGTAACACAGTTCCGCAACCAAGGCGGGTAACATAGCTCCGCACCGGGATGGATGCCTTTGGTCAACACGTCCGCCGCGGCCGTCCATACCGGCGCAGTGCACGATGTGGATTGCCGTCGTACTTGCTAGTGGCTATCACAAGCCACGAGAGACCCAATGGTCTCAAGTGTAAGTGGGGGAGAGGCTCGGAAATACCTTTCCTCCCTGATCTTGGGGCAAGACCAAGTTCCTTACGGAACCACGCGTCGATGTACATCGACTGCAGGCTGGAGGCGAGCAGCCGGGCTAGAGCCGCGGTAGCTCTAGCCAAGCAAGACAGAGCGGCGACGGCAGCCAGTGACGGGTGCCTCGAAATCGCTGAGCGAATCAGCAGTGTTGTGGTTGCATGTAACCACACACGAGGCGAAGCGCGGACCTGGTGCAATCACCGCACAGGTATCTTGGTCATGAATAACCTGTCGAGTAGGGGGAACGGGCCGTCTTACCCACTGACAAAGCGGGTGCGGTACGTGAGGTACGCAACGAGCCGAGTATTATGGACTGTGGATCCATAATCCAAGTGTGGTGCACGAGTGCACACACAACTGACCGGGTGGTGGTCGAGACAACGCACGCAGTCGTAACTGATACCGGGCCGAGCATGACACTGTGGTGATGGCGGCATGGTTCGAACCCGCATGGGTACTCCGTGCCAATGCCAGACACCAGCGCCGCAGTAACATGGTGGTGAGATATGCCTCACCACGGTCAATGTCTATGACAGACACTGGTATGAGTGCAAAGAATATGCGCCATACCACGACCCGATGCTGCTCTGGGTTATATGCTGTGAGTCAATGCACGTACCGTGCATCGACACTGGCTGATGTCGATCAGCCTGCCGGGAGCTCCTCGTAATGAACTCGTCGAGCATGACACCCATGAAGTGCACGGAGCACATATGGTAGTTGTGGTACGTGTCGTACACAGCGTACTTTATGAACGGGCCCATGGACCTGTACACTGTGCTTGCAAACGCGTCGTGTTTGACGCGAGCACTGACCATGACTGTGGTGTTGGAATTCCCACGTAAATGCTAGCTACAAATGTAGTTAGGAAACTCCCACAACAATACGTCTGCTAGGATAGCAAACGATCGTTCGGGCGGATCTGAAGCCCCCAGTTCTGCCCTCGCACCGGGACAGACTGGACCTTGTAAACTACTTATATATGGCCAGCCAGTAAAAATAAGAACGCGCTACTAGCACGAGCAAAGTTACAATAAGCCGTCACGTAAAACCTCCCGATAGTAATCGGCCAATACACGCACAGTCTCTTGGTCTTGCCGGATGAACCCTCTCTACAGAGCTTAGAGTTCACCGTAACGGATCATAGTTTACTTGATATTTTTGAACATGATTAGGACTCCTTATTAGGAATAGGCCCCAAAGGGTAAAAATAAATACAGAACAAGTTTCTACTCAGGCACACAGAGCAACGTCCGGCTTCAAGGTAAGTGTCTGGTCAAGCTTATTTAAGTGTGGTATGCCTGTCATGGATCTTCTTGCACGTCAAGCGTTGTCTGCACCGTTGCATGAGCATCTATAACAGCTTGCACCCTGTCCCAGACGGAACGTGTCTTCAAAGAGTCGCGGAGTCTTCCGCGAACTCATCCCAACCGTCACCGAGGGTTCGTACTGTAGATGGTCAGCTCTTGGCCACTGAGTGCGAATCCGGCCAGTCCATTACTAATAGTAAGGACAGCCTGGATTGAGTGACATCTAGACCGTATCCAATATCCGTTGAGTGTTCGGTAGTGACACCGTCGAGTCTCTTGCACCTTGGAGTCACAGTACATCCCGTGACCGAGGGTTCGTCACTTGAACCTCTTGGACGGTGCCGCATCTTTGTTGACAAGCGATTATCCGCAACACTGGAGAAATCACTACATCACACGAACCAGTTCAATCGACGGCACATCAGAAGCCGTTACCGCCAAACATGGCAACCTTGTGGTGGGCGTGCCGCACCAAAGGTTAGTACCGGAGGTACATGGTGTCGATGGGAGACACCTACACCACGACTGAGTACCATCACGGTACACGGCGTCGATGAAGGACATCTAGGCGCCGCTGGCATGACGGCCAAGACGCGAAGAGATCGTGGCAGAAGCTCCACCCGCAAGGATGTATCCTTTGTGGGCCAAAGTCATGGCCTGAGGTAAGCTGAGTGCTCGTACTAGGGCAGGTGTTGCAATTCTCGATGTCGTCCCTCGCGGGAGACACCATACTCGGGACGCGTTCACGAGGACTGTTGTGTCCTATGGCGCGAGCTGTGGGCGAATGCCACACGCTCGGATGCAACTGCACACTGTGCCAAAGCACTGTACGCGCGCTAACGCAGGAGCTAAGGCAGCTCTGAGTGTAGAGCCGCGACAGTCTCGTTGTAATGGACCCCTCCTTTACATAAGTAGGTAGATTTCTTTACATAAGTAGGTGCATCAGCACACGCTAGTCGTGTGCTGAAATGCTGTCATGCCATTGGCTGATATATGGGGAGCCAGACCCATTATTAGCCAATTGAACTATGACGTGTATTTGAGTGGCCAGGGCTGTGGCCTTGGTTCTAAAATAAAGTCAGAGTTGATTTTTCCTTAAACCTAAGACTCAGTCGTCCTATAGCCAGCTTCCTCAACACTATAGTGTAAGCAAGTAACGGAGTAAATACCTGGCCGTTACACCTGTTAGCACTTTGTAGTCCTTCCAACGACCAAAGTCGACATGAGCCAAGACCTCGACCACGCTGCCTTTCTCCATCTCACTCGGATCGAGTGGGAAGCTCTCCACCGCCTCGCGGCGGTGTCCGGAGAAGCCGTCATCACGTCGCTGCTGCGCTCAGCGACGCTTGACGAGCAGCGCGTTGCGGCACAAGAATTTATGGAACGCGAGCTCGCCGATGCGAATCGGCGAGTGTCAACTCCCTCGCGTATCTTCACGAATGACGTCGTGAAGCTAGAGACGTCCACCTACTCCGGCACCGGAGAAGATCGACTTCCGCTGAATCGCTGGTTTCGAGAGATCGACATCGCCATCGCCTCGAGGTTGATCGAGGCGCCTTCCGCGAAGGTCCATTTCCTGCTCTCGCGGTTGTCTGGGAAAGCCAAGGAATGGGCTCTCGGCAAGTTGGTTGTCGATCCCAACGTCTTCCCCACTCTGGATACCCTCCAGAGTGACCTTCGGCTCGCGTTCGAGCCGCCGCAAGATGAATCCCGAATTCGGGCAGACTTCTTCGCCCTTTGGCAAGGCACGATGACTATGCGCGACTACGTCCAGAAGACACGACACGACACCTCGCGTCGTGTATCGTGTCTAAGCCGATCGATATGGCCCCTCAGGTTCATGTGTTCGTGTTCGGTGCGCGAAGGCATGACGCGCTACTGCCTTATAAGATCGGACCCCTCTACGCTCGAAGAGGCGTTCGCCCTCGCCCTACGCGAGGACTACGTGGTCGCGGCGTCATACGCTCACGCGCTACCTGCTTCAGCTCGGGATTCTGCGCCCGAGCCCATGGACATCGACGCTATCGATGCGACGAGCAATCGTCAGCGTCATGTAGTGCGTCGAAGCGGTGCTCGGAACAATCGTTCTCTCACCTGCTTCCGCTGTCGGAAGGTCGGCCATCGCGCGGCGGAGTGCCGCGCGCCAGCTCCAGTGCTTGGGCATGTCGATGCCGAGCCCGTGAGTTCTGACCAGCCAAAAAACAGTCAGGGTCAGTAGGTGCGGGGCGCCCTACTGGCTGGAATGGAGGTCCGGGTCCCCCAGTGGCCACCCAGCCTCCTAGCCCTCCTGTGCTGCATGCACACTTTCATGCCACCACCGCGCCGAGCGATTCAAGATTGATCATCGTCAATCTTCATGTCGCCGGTGCCCGGCGACCACTGCGAGCACTCCTTGATTTAGGAGCGACCAACAACTTCTTCCGCGCGTCGTGCTTGTCGGTACCCCCGTCGGACATCACTGTCCGCAAAGGTAGAGGGGAGGTCGCTGTCAAGTTGGCCGATGGGAAATCACGCCGCGTCGCGCGGCGCAAGATTACACTTCCGTACAAGTTCGACGGTTTCAGAAGCAGCGACGACTCCCTCGTCATTGAGGTGAAATACGCGTTTGACGGCAAGCGTCGCAGTGATTATGATGTGAGCAAGGTGTTCGCGCACCTCCTGGTCGCCCAGCTCACGTCACCGTCGTGGACCGATCATCCACGACGCACGTTGTGCACTGAGTGAGCGATGGCCCTCTCTGCACGGCTTGCGCAGTGCTGTTAACTGACGAATCTCCGCGGCGACGCGGGGATGAAGACCAACTGGCGGTCGAGCAGGGGCTCCCGCAGACGAACGAGATGTCGGTCGAGCAGGGGCTCCCGTCAATTGAGCCGGTGGTCGAGCAGTTGGCGCACCCGCTGAACACTACCGCGGTCGAGCAGGGGCTCCCGCTAGAGGGGGGTGACCTCTCGTCCAGCGAGAGCAACTCATCATCCTCGAGTTCGCTCTCGAGGCGGCGAAAGAGGAAGTCGAAGCGGCGTCGGCTGAAACCTCGCCGAGAGCCCGTACCAAGTGACAGCTCATCGACGGAGTCGGTCTGCGTGCTTGAGTTTGTAAAAGGTACTCCCGGTCGCCGACGAACACTCGAGCTTGCAAACCCACCTGGCGAGGCAGGGTCGATCACGCGACTTCCAGGTCTCTCCTGGAAGAACTTCCTTCGCGGCCTCAAGGACGATGAAATCGAACAGGTTTGCCTGATCACCGACGCCGATTCGGCGTCGCTCGAAGTGAATGCAGTCCGTGACGACGTCTCGCGCCCAAAGAGCGCCGAACCGAAGTCGGCCCGCGAGGAGGGCTTCGCAGCGCAATCTTAGGAAGCGCTACGCGAATCAGGCAATCCAGTCTACGAGTCCGTCCGCAAATTTAAAGATGTCTTTCCGGATAGGATCCCAGCTGAGCTACAAGCTGACTGAGGAATTCGCCACGAGATCGATCTCGTGCCCGGCACGAAGTATTGTG